CAACTTCCTCCTCCCGCCCACAGCCGCCCGAGCACCCTTCCCCTGATCGCGGAGCCCGGGACAGCCGCCCTCACCAGGTGGGCAGGAAGTGAGTCCAGATGTTGACAGTCTCGTTGGTCATCTGGAAGGAGCTGAGGATACAGTCCAAGGCCGAGCTGGTGGGGCGGCGGTAGCCAGACACGATGCCGTCTTCCCAGAACACCTGGGTGGGGGTGGGGGTCACTATGCTGGACCCTCTCTCTGCAGGGGAGAGCTTGCAGGATTGGAGAGCGAGCGCTGGAGGTCACCATGACCCCAAAGCCAAGCTAAATCTGACTTCCCTCTCATCACAGGTTCCCATACCCAGAAAGCAGATGAGACAGAAGAGCCGGAAAGGGGACAAGAGAGGATGGGAGAGTCGCCGGGCACAGACAGGGTGCTCTGGGGGAGGGGACTCTAAGCGAGCCTGTTCCTTAGAGAACAGGAGGGGTCTCCCGCTGGGATGGGAGGGGTAAGAACTAGCTTGCAGGAAGGACGTCCCCGATCGCTGAGAGAGAACCTCAGTCCCAGCAGTCCCCTGGGGAGTAGGAGTTGGCCAGTGTAGCCCCTCACCCGGGGGACCTGGTGGACTTGAAGGAGTTGGGGTAGCTTGAGGCTGAGCATGGTGGCCCGCACCTCCACGTTGACCTAGAGACAGAGGGTTGGGGGAGGAAATCAGGCATCTGCTCCCGTCCACAGACTCCTCATCACCCAGGTCCAGGCTGGGCCTGGTCACCGAGTGCCAGGGTAGCTGGCCTCAAGCTGCTTCCTTCCGGCCAGGGGAGGCGGGCCCAGCTTCCCTGACGCCTCCCCATCCTAACCTGGGGGCATTCATTTTCCCCTTAACCCAGCACAAAGTGGAGGGGCCTCCTCCCCAGCTGGAATTCTGTCTCGGTAACCGGTCCCATCCCCCAGCCCTCCAGTTCCATCTCAGGAGAAGCCTAACTCATGGAGGTCAGTGCAGAGGCCCCAAGCCACCCACCACCACCAGAAGCCCTTGGCCCAGTGTGCAGGCTGAGCACCCAGAATTCCTGGAGAGGCCAGATGCCAGGGCAGGGAATTAGGGGGATGCCTGGCTCTTCTCCGAGGACACTTGTGCCCCTGGACATTCAGGGTCTTTGTCCCCGATCCCCCTGCCCCTCAGCCCCAGACCTGTGCAATGCCTCCGGGTGGCCGTGGCTCTGCTGCCCGCCGGCCTCAGGCCGCCTCTCCCAGGCACATTCCTTGGCACAATTGGTGGGGCTGGGCCAGCTAGGCGGATGGAACCACCCTAGGAGGAGGGAGAAGAGGACACTCCCCCCATCTCCCAGGGCCAAAACTGTCCAGCAATCTGACCCCGCCCCTCTTCCTGCCACCAGCCTCACACCACCAATCTGCCCCCCAACAGTGGGGGCTCCCTGCCCCTGACCTAGGGACTGGGCTGGGCACAAGACAGACCTGGTCCCTAGTCCCTGCACCCTGGCTGAGCTTTACGATAGAGGCCTCAAAGGTATTCCTTACCCAGGAGGAGGATGGGGGTGGTCTGACCCATCCTGAGTGCTGCCCAGTGGCCTGGGGGAGGGGTGGGAAAGCAGGATGCTGGCTGGGCTCTAGCTGCCCCAGGGGTCCTTCCTTTACCATAGCGTTTAGAAGTCTATGTGGACTGTGCTGTAGCCTTGGAGATGAGGGAGGGGGCTGGAGCTGGCCCTAATTTCCCAAATGGTGACAGCCCAGGTGAGCTTCCTTACCCAGAGCTTGACTGGAGCTCCCAAGCAGGTGGGTCAGCAGGCCCGGGTGCCCCTGCCAGCCAGGCCAACGGGAGGGAGGAGAGTGGCAGGCCGGCGGGCCAGGGGACGGGAGACAAAGGAGCCAGAGAACAATCCCAGCCTTGTCCAGCCTCCGGGAGCAGCGCAGGGTGGCCCAGCCCCATTAGCAGGCAGCTCACTGGGCCTTCAGCACACGGCCAACCCCTCCAGCCGGACTCAGACCCCCTGCGATCAGGACCGGCCGGAACAGGCTGGAGCCCTGGCCAGGGTGGTGCAGGCTCCCAGATCTGGCTGCGCCACCATTCCAGTCCTCCCAGGAGCTGAAGGTGGGCGCTGCCATCGGCCGGGCAGAGAATCCCAAATCCTGGTCTTGGAATCAGAAACCATCTCACTGTGCTTCATTGCCTCTGAGCACCTGGTGCTGGGCCGACTCCAGAGCAAATGCCTTTAGCAAATGGTTCAACAGGGGATTTGCCAAGCTTACTCCCCAAAGACGCACTTAAGGTACCAGTCCTTGCAGAGGGACAGGGATTGAATCTGGCTTAAGGTTCATCCCCTGCTCCCTTGAGGAAATCTCCCGATTCATAGGACCCAGCAAACAAGTCCCAGCAAACGTGGCCTTCAAAATCCTGTTTTCACCCATCCCCCTTACAAAGGCACCAGCTGTTTACAGGATCAAGGAACTTGACAGTGTCACTATGTCTGGAGCTTTTGCTGAAATTCCAAACTTCTTGCTTCAATGCATTCATTCACCTTGAAGAAATCTTTCCAAAATGCCATTTTTTAGCACGCCATCTCCAACATCCCAATAAAACTGCAGAAAGGCACCTGGAGACAGGGAGTGGGCTTCAGGGGTCTTTATTAAATGATGCTTTAGCCTCAGTCTGTCAGAGATTGGGAGGGGGGTGACCCTATCCCCCAGGCTGTCCCAGACTTGCTATCTTGGAGGAAGGAGGCAGGATGTCTGCTCTCCTCTGAGAACAGCCCAGGAAGCTAGGCTAGTGCTGGGGTGAGGGAAAGCAGAGCTGAGATCCCCACCCTCAACCCCTGGGGGAGGGGCCAAGGCAATCCTGGCCAGTCACCCACCCACAGCCCCACTCTTGCTGCTCCCTTCACTGTCCTGAGCTATTCATGATCTCTGCTTCCACAGTCACCTCCACATCCCAAGAGCTAGCCCCATGCTCAGCCCCACCAGGCCTTCGGTCCTGGGGAAGGGCGAAGCAGGAAGCCCATCAGGATTAGGGCCCTGACTGGGCAGCTTCAGGAGGCCTCTCCTTTCTCTAGTCAAGGGGGTGGTGGCCTCAGACTGCATCCCCCTCTCTTCTTACTGGCACCCACTGTGCAGCACAGCAACCAAGAGCACAAAGCATGGTGACTGTGGGACTGGTGGGCACAAGAACCCCCACTGGCACACAGGCCAGGCTGCCCACAGCTGGTGAGGCCTGCTCCCTGCCCTGGAGGCCAGGCAGAGGGAGAGCAGAAGTGGGGAACTGGGTGTGCAGCCCCAGCAGCACGGGAGGGATGCAAGCCCGGCTCCCCTGCCAGTGCAGACAGCTCCAGGCCCCTCTTCTTGAAGAGTCCCCAAAGCTCCAGAGCTGCCCAAGCCCCACAAGGGGAAACGAGAACGGGTGGTCTCTGAGGAGGGCAGGGTCTGCAGAAAACCACCCAGACACCTGGTGCTACCTCCTCTTCCCCAGGACTGGAAGGTCCAAACTCCTAGCCCAACCACCCCCCATCTTAGGTGAGGAAGGGCCTCTTCTGCATCCCTTCCCCTCAGAGGTCCAGGAATCACACCAGTGAAACTCAGACACCCACGCCTGCCACCCGCCTCTGGGGATAGCAGGAGGGTTGAGGCAGGAAGGCTGACTAGGGGCCCAAAGGCCTCTCCTGCTCCAAATACTCTCCTCACTTCCTGACGTCGTCTTGGCAACAGGGGGTGCCCACCCTCCCAGCTGGCTCCTGGGCCCTCCCTCAGCCTGTGTGCAGCTGGGCTTCCTTCCTGAGTGCGTGCGGGAGTCTGTGGTGGGGTGACTACAGGTGGTGGTCCCAGCAGCCAGAGAGGGCAGGAGAGATCTGGAGTCAGCCCCACTGCAGGGCTTGGGAATCAGTCTCAACCAATCTCCTTCCACTGCTTGTAGAAGTCCAGGACATTCTTGATGTCCACACTGGCATGTGCAGCGGCCTGCAGGGCTGCCTGTGGAGGGGAGCAAGAGAGGTGGGTGAGTCTGACTCCTGAACTCTGGGACAAGTCGCTGAGGAGAAGGGTGATGGAAGAGGAAAAGGGCCACCACCCGGGAGGTCTGAGGAGGGAGCCTCCTCCGGTACCTCTTCCCCATTCCAGGCCCCGCTCCTCACCCGCTAACCCACCTGCATAGGGCCCGAGAGCACGCTGGGGTTGTCCAGTGGAAGGCCTGTGATGATGGTCACCATGCCACCTGGGTCCTCCTCACCTGCCCCCTGGGCTAGAGTCAGTTGTTTGCAGCTGTCCAGGATCTTATAGAGGGTCCTGGTGGGGAGGAGAGGAAGGCAGGCCAAGCCCCGGCATTAGCACAGCCTAAACCCCAGGATTTCCAGGGCACAGGGGAAGCTGGGAGGGGAGGGCACCAGTAGGGAGCAACAGCAACCAGGCAGCCAAGGCAGGAGGAAGCTGGCATTGGAGGCTGTGCCATGGGGAGTGGGCAAAGGCGCACTGAGGACATCAGGCCTGCGCATCTCAAGGCCCCAGGGAATCGGGTGCTGGAGCAACTCCTTCCTCCAAGGGGACTTGCAGGAGCCCCGGCTGGTCCTGCCACCTGTGCCAGAGTTCCTTGGCCCTGTCCTCTCTCCCAGGGAGTGGCAGAGGAGCGAAGCAGGCAGGCTACCTGAGGTTCTAGGGGGAGGGGCTGAAACTTTACCAGGCATCTGCATCCTGTCTCTTCAGCTTATGTCGCTCAAAGCTCTTCCCCACCTCTTTCTGGCAGCGAATGTACCTGCGAAGAACACAGGAGAGTGGAGGTGGGGGCACAGGAGCAAGGGCACTGCACACAAAGCAGACCATTGTGGCTCAGGGGCCTAGCTCTATGGAGCAGGGAGGGGGCACATCTCTCCCATCACAGGTCTGCTGGGAGCCATTTCGAAGTTTCCTGGCCGCTGGCTCACTTTCTTCCTGATAACATCAATCGCTCGGTTCCTCCCAGTGGGGGGAGTTGGGAGGAGAAATAGCAGATGCTTTTCAAGTCAGGGCTTCTGGAGACAAGGTCCAAACAAACAGGCTTTGTACAGCTTCCTGGCAGATGTGGGGTGGGGTTTGGGGGTGTCAGCTGGCAGGGAGGCCCGAAGAAAGGCCTGTGTGGGCCGGGCACCTACATGCTGTGGTCTGATCATCGCGGCTTCAGTGGGAGGTGGGAAGCCCCAGGCGGCCCCAAAGAAGCACTGCCACCCTAGCAACCCTGGTCAGTCCCGACCCTGTGAGCAGGAGAAACGCTTGCAACGGTGCCCACAGCCTGGAGCTGGGGTTTGCTCCCTTCTCCCCAGAGATGCTGATCTCATGTTCGCCCCAGAGGCAAATGGACAGCAGGTCAGTGCTTCCCCCACAGCTCCTGGCCCCTCCAATCGCCCTCTATTTCAGCACCTAAGACCTTGACTTGTTAGGTCTTTGGTTTTCCCTCCCCAGCAGTGAGCAAACTGTGCGCAGGGACTGCAAGTGTGTGTTTTATCCACAAGTAACACACAAGCATTTGTCGTCTGAGAGACACGTACGGGCTCAGCACCGGCCCAGTGGGCCTGCACTCACCTGTTTCCTTTTTTAAACTCTGCCTCTAGGTATCGGATCCCATCCCGGGCCCCTGGGTGTTCCTTCTTCAGCAAATCCAGGCCATCAATCACTAGTGGGCAAGGTGGGGGTGGGGAAAGACAAAACAGATGAACTCGGAGTGTGTGACACGGGGCTCTCTGCAGGAAGTAGCTGAGCTCCTCCAGCACACACTGCAGGAAAGGAAGGGATGGACCGTGGCTCCGACAGGGCTCCTGAAGTCCTTCAAAAGTATGACCTCCTACCAGTCATAGACTTGGCAATTTACCAACTGCTTTCATTTAGATATTCTCCTCTGTTTCTCCCAATGATCTGTGAGTCAGGATTTAAGAGATCATGCCCATTTCACAGATGAACTCACTGAAGTTCAGAGTTGAAAGCACTTGACCAAGGCCACTGTGTATAAACTGGGCTCCAAATAAAGGTCTCTCAATCCCAAGCCCAGAGTTTATTTTAGCCACCTTCTATCTGTCCTCCCCCTCCCAGGATGCTCACCTGTCCTTGGGATGATGACAATGAAGCGGCCACTGGTGGCCAGCTGGCGGATGATGGGGAGGTGGTGGCAGAGGGCCTGGGTGTCAGGGACGAGGTAGGGTGACATTGCTGACTGGGCCTTGGGCTGCTGTAGGCTCCCTTCCAGCTGAGAGACCTCGAGCTGGTGAGAGAAGGCATAGTGGGTGGAGCTGTGTGGGCTCCGCAGCCGGGCAGGGGAAATGGTTCTCAAAGGGGCTCTTAGAGGGCTCCTCCTGCTGCCCCAGGGACAGGGGACTCCTTCTACCAATGACCTTGGAGGAAAAGTAGACAGAAACAAGGGTTAAAGTAAAGAGAAAGGGAAGGGAATGAGGCAGAAGTGAAAGCAGCCAGACGGCAAGGCCCTGTGAAGAATGGGCTTCGGGAGGTGATCTGGGAGGCCAGGAAGGGAGTAATCTGGGCAAAGTGGGGGCCCTGGGGAGCAGGGGATAGCAGCTGGAGGGGTGAGGACCTGCCAGTGGGCTGTGGGCGATAACCAGGAGGAGGAGGGGGGCGGGGGGAGGAGCACCTGGAGTCGCAGCTGGGCCATGTCTCTCATAAGCCTGTTCCGCCGAGCTTCTTCCTGCGCCTACAAGGGAAACACCAAGTGCTAAGCCTGGGCCGAGGTGCTGAGGCTGCACTCCTTCCCCCGCGGCCAAGACCAAGAGGAGTGCTGGGGCCTGAAGCGGGTATGGCTCTCTACCGACCCCGCTAAGTGAGAAGAGAAGCACGGGGGAAAACATCACTCCCTCTGTTCCAACGCCAGGAGGGAGGCAGCAGACAGCGGCACTGACAGCACAGGACAGCACCGGGCTGTGCCTCAGCGTCTGAGCTCTGCCCTCTGCCTTCTCCCTCCCCGGGATAAATTCTACCCATGCACCCCATTCCCTACCTCTATCACCATCCATTTGCCC